AAAAAAAAAAAAAAAAAAAAAAAAGACTTCGAGTTAAATAATTCGATTAAAATCTTTTGAAAAATTAATTGAATTAAATTATAGTCCTATTGTCTTGATAATTACTTAATTTATTTAATTAATTAAACGGCGTTGTTTTTGGAGGTTCGTTGAAATTAAGGTACATTTTTACGAAATGGATAGTACAAGTGTTTACTAACTTTATGAAATCAGTGGGCACTGAAATTCCAATCTCTGACCAAATAACTTTGACCAAAGTTTTGCTTTATTTATTTATTTATTTATTTTACTTATTTTTCCATGAATCATCTCCCAAATCTGACGGTCTGGAATTAAACAATTTGCTGTAATTTCATGATTTAAATCTCCATTCCTTTTAATTCGTTAATTATTATGGGTATAATTTAAATTCAGATAAACATTGCATTAAATTAAATAATAATTGAATTAATTAGCTAATCCATGTGATTTTTTTTAAAAATAATTCTTTAAATTTGACTAAAATTCACGATTTTCAAGCCTCACCTCATTAACATGAATATATGCAAATACATGCATAACATGTGTGGCTACTTTTAGTACGTTATATAATTTGTTATTCCAAAAGGAATAATCCCATTTTCTTCCTAATATTGACAAACTTTCAATGAAATTATAACCATTCACATTTATTTTTTATGCTCAATTTAATGTCATCTTAGACAATATTTATTATTAAAAAAAATAATTATTTTACTGCGCATAAAAATATATATATTCATACGCCCACTTAATTTCTAAAAATTTTAATACAACCACATACAGAGTATTTAGTTTTAATAACTCTAAATACTATTATTAAAGTTTCAAAATTAACTAATTTTTTTTTTTATTATAAGTAAAAAAATATTTGTGTATGTTGAAAATATGTTTATATTAAGTGTCGCAGGTAGAGAATGATCTCATTTATCTAACGGAAAAAAATGTTATCTACTCTCTCCTATTTCCTGCCTGTTAAATGTAATTTAATCAATTTTATTTATTTTTGTTACCGAAACTCAAATTCATAACCTAATTTTCTTATATATCAAAAAAAAAAAAAAAAAAAAGAGGAGAAATGAATCATAAAGAAACCACGTGGGAGGTGCACATGAGGTAGTTGAAATAGTTATTTATAAAACAAAAGAAAAAAAAAACAGAAAAGTACAGAGTGTCAAGCATTTATTATCCCAGTGGAGAAAAAGTATTTAATTATTATAATTATAATTTATTATCCACGTCGTATTATAATTAAAAATGATTATTTTAATTTTTATAATGATTTGAGATGTAATAGATTACGTTAAGGAAGGGAGAGGGGCATAGATTCCTTCCCAAGCAACAAATTAAAAAAATTATGAAATTCGGGATAAACCGTCCAGGAACATATCTCCATCTTATCAAGCCTATTTTCGTAAATATCTTCCCATTGTAGGGGTAGTCCCTTCATTTGCAATTATGATCCGCCATATAAACCCTGATGGCCCTCCGCGGGCTTCCTTATTTGTCGTCGCCTTCTCCAGATGTTGTTAACAGTTCCGTTTGCAATTGCATAACTTGTACAGCAAGCGTTTCAGTTTTTTAGCTCTCTTCGATCAAGGTGCGTACTAATTTTTCTTTGTTTCTCCACTGAATCTCTGCTTCTTTATAATTTTTGTGTTTCAACATTTACTGCTTACTGTCTGTCGGCGGGAGATTTTGGCGGTCGCCTTCACTCTCTGCATCGAGTTCTTTTTTTTTTTTTTTTTCTTTTTTCCTTTGAGAATTATGTTTACTATTTGGAGTTGGTGTTAATTCGTGATAATTTGGTGTTTGGCGAGATGTTTCTGATTAAGATCTTCTTCTTCTTTGGTTTTTCAATGTGGTCTTTGCTTCGTTCGAAATTGGATGAACAGTTCTTCTTTACTTTTTGGATTTGGACTTTGTTGCGCTCTTTGGTTGCGAAAACGCGTGATGTATTCGTGTTCTTCTTTTCTCAGTTCCTTTATTATTTTTCTTTTTCAAACTCGTTGATCGTTTTTTTTTTTTTAATTTTGTTGAACGTGATGCCTTCCAAGGTAATACTAATTGCCGCGAGGAACTTCAGCTTTTTGAGTTTAGAAACTGAAATTGCGGAACCTTCTTTTTTTTTTTTTTTTTTTTTCTGTTGTTGTTGTTGCCTTCTGTTAATATTCTTGATTTACCGAAACAGCTTAATAGATTATTTTTTTTATTTCTTCCGCGTGTTTAACTTTCGATTGAGCCGTGGCTATTTCGTGGAGGATATGCGTATTATTTTTTCTGATAATTGTATATTATGTGAAGAACTGGTGTTTGTTGGGAAAAACCTCACACTGATTCATCCAAATATCTGTGTGAATCATTCTGCCTTGTGGTGGTTGAAATCGAAAGAGATCTTCTATCTCTTCTCTATTTTTAGTAAGCACGATGACTCTTTTCTTTCTTCGTATTTGTGAAGGAAATACTGAAAACTTCATCATTTTTCTCAAGTTTTGTTCTTAAATGTTGAAACGTTGTATTGTGGCTCATTTCGTATGAACTTGCTTCTGAGGATTCGAGTTTTTTTTACCCTGTATTTGTGATCATGCATCGCTGATTGCGTAGGATCTAATTTGTTCTGAATATGGATTCACTTTTGAATTCCTTTTTTTTTTTTTGGTTCAATAATGTTTTCTCTGTAGAATTTATTTTTGATCTGTTCTCTGCAGATTTGAGGATTCTTTTATTCCACTCCTTGTGCAAATCATATAAGAGTTTTGAGTCCTAAAATATCTGCCGAGGGGTAGTTACTACTGAATCATACAACATATCTTGGACTAGAGTCCATTGAACCAAGTCCTGGAAGCTCTTGCAATACCAATTGCTATAGTGGCCAAGATCTTCTTGCTGTGGGCTTATTTCTGATTCTTAATGCGAGCGTCTCAGAATAGCCAGGCATCGTCTGGGATCCATGAGATGCATCACCAGTCTGTGCAAAAGATAGATCCCTACTATTTATCACATTTACACGTATTGAAAAACAATGTTTCTCCTGACGCAAGCAGCCAGGGAAACAGTGTTAACTTTTCTTCCTTTAAGGATCAGTTCTTTACTCTGGAATCATTTCCGGCTACTGCTGATCTGAGTGCCTGTAATTCCCCTTCTGCTGTAAGTGGTCTGTCTTCCAGGAGCCCCTTCTCACCTCAAGGTTCTCAATCATGCTCCTCAGATCAACCCCATTCCTTTGACAACACATGCGGATCACCACAAAGTGGATGCTCAGTGACTGATGATGATAACGAATTAAAGTACAAGCTGAAAGAATTAGAAATTTCTTTGCTGGGGCCTGAATCTGATATTGTGGATAGCTGCTACTGTTCTTTCAGGGGTGGGGCACATCAAGATGCTTCAGTAGCAAGGTGGAACTGGAATCAAGTGGCTGAGATGATTCCTAGACTAAACCTTCGGGATACGCTCATCCATTGTGCCCAAGCAATTCATGATTCTGATCTAAATGTGGCAACCTTATTTTTGGATGTTTTAGGGAAGATGGTTTCTGTCTCTGGTGATCCAGCCCAGAGGTTGGGCGCTTACTTGTTGGAAGGGCTTAGAGCGAAGTTGGAACGATCAGGGAGTGCAATATACAAGGCCCTAAAATGCGAAGAACCAACAAGCTCTGAACTCATGTCCTACATGTCTGTTCTATTCCAAATCTGCCCGTACTTTAAATTTGCTTACACCTCTGCCAATGCTGTCATTTGGGAGGCCATGGTAAATGAACCGATAATCCACATAATTGATTTCCAAATCGCACAGGGTAGTCAGTATATACCTCTCATCCATGATCTTGCTAATCGGCCTGGTGGACCCCCAGTTCTTCTACGCATCACTGGTGTGGATGATTCCCAATCATCTCATGCACGAGGAGGGGGACTTCACCTTGTGGGACAGAAGCTAGCTCAGCTGGCTCAATCAAAAGGAATTCCCTTCCAATTTCATGCTGCTGCAATGTCCGGTTGTGAGGTCGAACGTAGTAATCTTAGAATACGACCTGGAGAAGCGTTGGCCGTAAATTTTCCTTACGTCTTGCACCACATGCCAGATGAGAGTGTGAGCACACAGAATCACCGAGATCGGCTTCTAAGGCTAGTCAAAAGCCTGTCACCGAAAGTAGTAACTATTGTTGAGCAGGAATCTAACACAAACACATCCCCCTTCCTTCTTCGTTTTCTAGAGACGCTGGATTATTATACTGCTATGTTTGAATCAATAGATGTAGCTCGTTCGAGAGACGACAAGCAGCGAATCAGAGCGGAGCAGCACTGCGTGGCCCGAGACATAGTGAACATGGTAGCTTGTGAGGGATTTGAAAGGATAGAACGTCATGAACTCCTTGGCAAGTGGAGGATGAGAATGAAGATGGCTGGTTTCACTTCATATCCACTGAGCTCCTCTGTAAGTGGAGCCGTCAGGAATTTGTTGAGGGATTTTAATGGGAACTATAGACTCCAAGAAGTGGATGGGGCTCTCTACCTTGGCTGGAAAAACAGAGCAATGGCAACCTCCTCTGCATGGAGATGAAAACCTGAAACTCCGTTGCAACATTTTAGAGCATGGAGCGATAATGACCCGTATAGCTTCGTAGAATGTGAGGTCAAGGCTCTTACTGTTTGTAGGACCCCAAATCTTGAAACTTGCTGTAAATTTCAGACTTTGGCGAAAGAATTTTGTCCTGGTAGTACCGTATTAAACCTCATAATTACAAAGATAACTAGTTTTATATCATATCTGATTCCATTAAGGAGGACGGTGTTTGGAGCTTTGGTTTGGAATTAAAAACCTAGAGTTCCTAAAACTCTCATGGGATTGTTGGGTTGGGTGGTTCTTCTGGTGAGGCTTTGACTGGGTTTGGTTAGCCTAGCATAGGTATCCCAAGTTTTACCTGTAGTTTTTGTTGATTGATTGGAACCCTTTCGTAGTACTTCAAACATGTCTCCTAAAGACAGTCATCACCCGTTAATCTAAACGTTTTGACACTTGTCAGTTTGCTCATCGACATGGTCAAAATGTCCTATATCATCATCTCAACTACGAGTCAATTAGGGATGTAGAATTCTTCGTAATTGGTGATCATCATCAAGGTTTGGTGCAATTTTTAATGTCATGTTAAAGACTGATAGCTATATTATAATACCATAGAAACAATTCATTTTTTAGGCGTTTGGCATTGGTAACACTTCCTCGAATGCGTATAAATTATTTATTTTTTAGGTCTTTGGTAATATAAATTATTATGTTGGTAAAATAACTTATAAGACCAATATAATATTTGATTTGATCAAAACCTAAATTTGGGTTGGACTAAATGGGATTCGGAATTATATTATCAATCCTCACCCAATTTCCATTTACATGCGTACGTTTCTATTGACTTAGTATGTTACATAAATAAATTAAAAAAAAAAATCTTAAATGAATGAGATTGAAATTTCAAATTATTGGCTGACAACCTTGGTGGCCAAACATAGATTTGATTTTAGAACTAACCCAATCCAAATCCCGACTGATAACGGGGGCTGATCTAAGCAATGCTTATTAATATCCAAATGCTAAGATTCGACGTATTTGTTCGGATATACTAAGAAATTACCTCTCTCTTTCTCTCTCTAACTGCGCTCAAAATGAATAAACCCAAATGGTAATTAGATGTCGAGAGCTGATTCGTTCAATCTTTGCCGTAAAATCGGCTCTGACAGCTCTCTTGTTTTTCATTTTCTGTACAAACAGCAGCAGCAACAACAAAAACAACCACTTCCACGTTTGTTTGTTTGTTTGTTTATTCTCCTCCTCTTCCATTTATCCCAAAATCAAGTACGATCAAAATCCGGGTTCTATAAATTTCCGTGTTTATTGGTTGATCTCCACGTTCATAATCACGTTTCAGCTGTGTTAATTCTGTTCTGTTCCCTTTATTTCAGAAGAATCGATTAATTTCAACGATCCGGTTGAAAAATGGAAGAATCGGCATCGCAGAGGGACAAGGAGAGAGAACGACGCCGTATAAGGGACAGGGAAAGAAGATCGTCGATGACCGTAGAACAGAGAGAGAGGCATCTCGCAAGCCGCCGACGAAACTACCATCTACGAAGACTGAGATCTCGAAGCGTAAGAACGACGAATCCAAGCGTTTCGTCACCAATTGAAATGGCTGAAACCAATTCGAATCAGACAGTCGCAGAGACTTCCATTGCAGAGCTTGATCTGCAACGAAATGGGCTTACGCTTATTGATTTCAACCACGAACAACAGTTGACGTCTTCCGGTGAGCAGAATGTGTTCTTTAAAGATACCCAAACCGTGAGATAATTTCTCTCTGAGTTAATTTTGTTGCGAATTGTTTCAATAGGTTCCGAAACTTTGGACCCAAAAGCTGAAATTCTTCAGGGGAGGGTTCGTTTGAGTCATATTCGACGACTTGCACGTTCAATTGGGATTCACCAAATGATGGATTCCATGGAAGAATCGACTGGAAATTGCAAGTCTGAGGATCATAGCTTGGAATGTGATCCAAGAAGATCTTCGAAAGCATTACGGCTAAATCGCGTCAAGCATCTCGCGAGAAAGATCAATTCTTCTGTGAAGCCATCTGCTGCTGATGAATCACAAAATCAAACTGCCATTGCGGGCAGTACTAATCTCTAAGCTCTCCATCCTCCGTTTTATCGATCAAAATTCAAATGGAGGCTTTATACGATGGAGGATTTCGTTTATAAGCATCATCGACATTGATTGCCGAAATGGGAATCAGATGCGGTTACTAATGAAGCCTCTTGTAATATGTTGCAAATTAAAGTGGGCTTACTTTGGTTTGTGTTGAATTGTTTGAATGAAGGAAACAAAAGAACACAAATTGACCGACAATGGGACAAACAGAGGCTGGGCGGATTGAATTTGGCTTAGAAGTAAGCAGAGAATATTTTGCTGTTCATAATGTTGTTCTTGAAAGATGAACATACGTCAGTGTTTCTAATAAAGATATTGCGGAACAATACTAGTTGATTGATTTTGTTCCAAGTGAGTGGTTAAAGAATTTTGCAATGCTAACCCATATAAGTATTAAATTTTGATATCATTGTGTTGCAAAGAAATGGATTCTGAAAGAGCTGATCTATTGAGGTTCAAAATGGTTGCAAAAAAGTACAATAGTTTTTCTCAGCCAACATCAAGCTTAATCTTCGTAAAGAACTTGATAAACAGTTAATCTATGAATAAAATTCTTCATGAAGTAAACCGGCAGAAGAAGAACGCCGCCCAAATGCTAACACAAATTTCTTCTTTCAAGACTCCTAACCTGTGAACAAAAACAACAAAAACACAGCAAGAATTTGCTACACATATCATCTAAAAAGGTATGCCTCAGAATAGCGGATTGACAGCAAGGCTTGAATAGCCATTCAGTCCCGAAAGATGGTATTTTGTTAACCGATATCATCATAGGCATTGGATGGAAATCTAACGAAAGAATATGAAAGATTTGAGGGTTGAACAAAGAATATAGGTCTCATGGCCAGTCCCAAGAAGTAAAGGCAGCAACGCTGCTCAACAAGGCAATGGAATATGAGACCAGCAGTCGATGGAGGCCCCAAAGAGGAGCCATCAACATCAACCGGAATTACTCTGTGACGTTAACTTTGGCACTATACGAACATAACGTGTTCGCTCCAAATCTAGTAAGGGATTGGATCATAAATCCCCCGTCACATAAACACAGCAAATTACACAACATCAATAAAATTGTCAAAAACAGCCATTGAAGAAATTGAAATGTACGTCTCATGGCATGTCCCAGGTGGTAATGGCAGCGAGGCTGCTACACAAGGCGATGGAATATGAGACCACCCATGACGGAGGAGTTCCTTAAAAAGGAAGACCGTCAACGTCATTAGGCATTCTATACGACGTTAACTCGGAACTGTGCAGAAATAGAACAGGTCTGCTTCCTCTTAGTAAGATACTTCCTCGCAGAAGTCTCCCGTCGCATTTAAACATCCACAAAGGCAAAACTCGAATCAAAGAATAAGAACAAGAATCATCTCTATGAAACACAAAAACATTTAAGAACAAAAATCAGAACAGATTATCGAAACAGAAGCCTCAATTCAATCAAATCCAGATTCCGCAATACCGTGGAAGCGATGAAACTGCTAAATCCGAACTCAAAAGTGATCGAAACATATAAACAAACGTATAAGGAAGAATTTAGAAATCACCGATTGAAGAAATGCCGCTGCAAAAACCATAAACCCTAAACCCCCAACAAGGGCTCAGAAAAGATGCGGGCGGTACAATGGATGAGAGTGAATGAAGAGGCATCGCCGTCGTGGTCATATATAAAGGAGAGGTTGGAAACTGTAGACCGTTGGATTGTCATAGAAATAAATCTCGGCCTTTCAATTGTCTAGGGTTACATGCCGCCATGAGATGGGGGTATAACCGTCCATCCGAGTTTATACTTTCCAAAATTTCATTTAAAATTAATTTCCTAAATTTAAAATTAAATAATTGTGTCCAAATAACATGTTTTTAGCTGTCAAATATTTCAAATCTCCGTACCCATATATATAATAAATAAAAATAATGAAACTTAAATTATCTAAATATTTAGTAGATGAAAAAAATTAAATCATAATTGAGTGAATAATACACATTAAACTAATTCGAAGGTCACCATTGTAATTGTAAAATTAAAATGAATTTTATATTTAAAAAGTGTATACCTAAAAAAAAAATTGGATCATAGGGCATTCGAGTCTATCATTTCTGTGGATTTCTACATGATTTCTCCTGTCCCTTCTGTCCAATGGATTTTGAATATAAAAATCATTTTTTTATTAGTCCATAACCGGACCTAGATCAATATTATGAACTCAATACTGTAAATGAAAGTATTGTTCTCGTTTCTACTCTTCAGTCACATTGTTGTAACAACGATATCAATATGTAACAACAATATCAATATGAAAATATTTGGCACATGGGGCCATGATCTGATATTAATCTATCTTTATTTTATATGGATAGAAAATATCTTATCTTTGTCTTATTCAAAACCCCTTCTCTCCCACTTTTCTATCTCACTCCACACCTTGGAAGGCACGGTTCTTATAGAGAGAGACACTTTCACATCTTCTAAACCCAAAATGGCAAATGGCTCGAAAGAGGAAAGTTCCTTTTTTTTAGGGTACCCTGGGAACAGATCAAGTGGAGAATGGGATGGGGTCCGTAGCTCAGAGGATTAGAGAACATGGCTACGAACTACAGTGTCAGGGGTTCGAATCCCTCCACGCCCACAACTGTCCAAAAAGGGAAGGACATTTCCATAATAATTAGTTAGGGAATATATTTGGATATTCGTAATCAATTAATGTTTTAGGTATTAGTGGGTAGTTTTCAATCCCACCTCTATTTTTCATTCTTCAGGGTAATAATATTCATTTATTTATAGCCTTATCTAGAATGTTATCCTTCCAAACATGGATAGTTCCGCCAGTGAAGGCAAAATCAAATCCCATAATATAAATTACTTTGGAGCGAAAGTGCATTCAACAATCAAGCAAAAAAGAAGCCATTCAAAGTCTGAGCACCAGAAAGTAGTGTGAAAATAACCGGAAAATTCTCTGTTCAAACAAACTATGGAAGAGAATTGAGTGTTTGCGCTATCCACAATCCTCTCCGTGAAGAAGGGAGCGTTTCAATTTGGTAAGATTCATGTTTATCCGGCCCTGTTATTGGGTTCTGGGAATTTTAATTTTATATCGCCTATGTTGTTGTTTCGTGCCGTTCATTTCATGAATTTTTGCTACACGTATTACATAATTCATCGTATTTTCCAATTTGGGATATGGGGAACTTCAATTCTCTCCCATTTAATGCGTCTTTTTTGAATGTTCAAAACTTCATAGGAATCTTAACCCCAATCGAAAATTACGTATTTACGCCTCTTTTTGGCATCTTTGTCTATATAAACCTCCATCAGCCACCATTGTTGAGTAAATCAGAAAAGGCCACATGCAGTGAAGCTTCTGAGTTGAAGCTAGCACAGAAAGGTGATGCCTCTTCGTTATCTTTTCTCCTCCTTCACTGTGGCTGGTGGGTTTGGATGATTTTAACAATGGAAGAAATTTTTGTGTGTTTTTTTTTTTCGTTCTTTGTCCAGATTTTCCCTTATTGGAACATTTGATCATCCAAAGAACTTGAGTCTTTGTTCCTTGTTGTTGTTGCTGCTTCTGGATTAGACTTGGTTTGACTGTTTCCTCGGATTAATCTGAAAATCTGCTGAAGAGGTTATTATAAATTAGATGAAGAGATGATGATGGATTTGAATTTTTGTGTTTCGTTTGCTTTAGAGATTCATGCAATTTGTCGTTGTTATAGATTGATTGCTTGTTTTTTTTTTCTTAAACATCTGCAGTTTGTTAATAGACCTCTAAAACTCAAAAGCCATTTGAAGAGGGTCATTCAAAATGGTGGAAGGAGATGCTGTAAAGGCAGACAAGGCAGAGTTTTTAGAATGTTGGCAGACAACATGGAAGACACCTTACATTATGCGCCTTGCTCTGTCTGCTGGAATCGGCGGTCTCCTTTTCGGATACGATACTGGTAATTCCCGACCTCGACCTTGACCCCGACCCGGATTGCATAATGATATTCTTCTTACGTTTTTGTTGCATTGCATTGCATTGCAGGTGTGATCTCTGGGGCTATGCTCTACATTCGAGAGGACTTTGAAGTTGTTGACAGGAAAACATGGCTACAGGCAAGTCATGCTTGGGCCCTAAGTTGTTGCGGGTTTAAGTCTATTTTAAGTAATGCTTACTTTGATCATTACAGGAAACCATTGTAAGTATGGCTGTAGCAGGTGCTATTGTGGGTGCTGCAATTGGTGGCTGGATGAACGATAAATTTGGTCGAAAAAAGTCGATTCTAGTTGCCGATGTCGTGTTCTTCCTTGGTGCTATTGTCATGGCTGTTGCTCCCTTTCCCGGGTTCATTATCGTTGGGAGACTTATAGTAGGTTTTGGGGTCGGAATGGCATCCATGACTGCTCCTCTTTACATATCAGAAGCTTCCCCTGCTAGGATTAGGGGTGCTCTTGTCAGCACTAATGGATTGCTAATCACTGGAGGACAATTCTTTTCCTATCTAATCAACCTGGCTTTCACTAAGGTAAAATGGGACTTCCTTTTTGATGGTTCAAGTAATGAACTGTGAATTTTATGTTCTTATTTTCAGTTTTTTAGTTTGTATCTATCTTTGTTGCAGACAAAGTTAACATGGCGTCTGATGCTTGGAGTAGCAGGACTGCCAGCTTTGGTTCAGTTTGTTTTAATGTTGTCACTGCCTGAGTCTCCTAGGTGGCTTTACAGACGGGTAAAGTTTGAAACATTCTACAACCTTTTCCTACGAGCTTCCCAAACAAGAGTATTAGTAACTGTTTAAACTTTCTCATGCCCATTTCTGTTTAGCTCTTATCAGTGTGCATTAGAAGTATTTGTAAGTAGAATACTACTTCAGTTATTCTTAACTAGTGTAACAACCTGCCTTCAATTATTCATAACTAGTGTAATAACTCGAGCTCACTACTAGTAGATTAGATGTAGTCCACTTTGGCCCGTTTTAAAACGCATGTGCTAGGGAGAGGTTTCCACACCCTACAAGGAATGCTTCATTCCCCTCTCTAAGCGATGTGAGATTTCACAATCCACCTCCCTTGAGGGCCAACATCCTTGCTGTCATACCGCCCGGTGTCTGACTCAGATACCATTTGTAACAATCTGAGCCCACCGCTAGTAGATATTGTCCGCTTGGCCCATTACGTATCACTGACAGCCTCACGATTTTAAAACGCTCCTAAAGGGAGGTTTCCACACTCTTACAAGAAATATTTTGTTGCTCTCTCCAACCGATGTAGAATCTCACAACTATTTAGAATGCACACCAAACACACACATTTGATGAATCATTTAAGTTCTAACCAAGGGCATTTTGATGGAAGATTTGCTTTTCAGAGTGTACACACGTTTCTAGTTTTTACCATCAAACTTACTGAAACGTATTTTTCCTGATGATCAGGACAGAGTAGATGAAGCAAGAGGCATACTGGAGAGGATATATCCTTCTAATCAAGTTGATGAAGAGATGAAATTACTGCATGAATCTGTAGCAGCAGAAAAGGCAGAAGGAGCAATTGGAGATGGAAGTATAATAGCTAAAGTTAAAGGAGCTTTGAACAGCCAAGTCGTCCGAAGAGGGCTCTACGCCGGGATCATTGTCCAAGTAGCACAGCAGTTCTGTGGTATCAACACTGTCATGTACTACAGTCCAACCATCATCCAGTTTGCTGGATTTGCTTCTAATACAACAGCCATGGCGCTTTCTCTTGTTACTTCCTTTCTCAATGCTGCTGGCACTGTTGTAAGCATGATCACGGTCGATAGATAT